TTTTTTCATTTTGAGTCAGAATTCCACTGAGTTGCTATGTGGCCAGGCTGGTATTGAATTCTCTATGCTCCTGCCTTGGCCTTCCACAGCTATGGGATTTCAGATGTATACTACGACTCCTGTTACTTTTAGTGTGTGTATTTGTGTATCCCTTCGCACACACACACCCATCAGCCATGTATACATATATATTAAGGTAATCATATTAAAAAGCTCCCCTCCCATGTAAACACAGGGACCTGTGTTGTCTAGTATTGCTAATATTCAGAAATACAAGTCACAAAATAGACTCTGAATAAATATTTGTGGAATGAATGATTGAATCTCTTAACTTTTTAAATCTTTACAACAATCCTGTGAGGGAGGTAAAGTATTTATTATCTCATTTTACACATGCTGAGAATGATAGTGGGGTTAAATAACTTGCCCAAGGTCAGACAGTGACTAAGAACTCTAAGGCAGGTTTTCTCTGGTCCGAATATGCAGTCTATATCTATAATTATGCATTGGTGTGTGAGTGTATCTCCACATTTGTGGAAAATTAGTAGAGGCTGCTTCTTGGAGTTCTGAAATAAAACAGTGTGCACTAGGAGTCTTGGTTGCATGCAAAGGAAGAGCAAGTAATGTCACACAGGGTATGAGAAAGTGAAAGGAAAAGGTTTAAGAGAACTTGGCCAGGTATGAAATGCATGGGTTTATAACCACACAGGCTGTAATCACGTTCGCATTCTGCCTGATGTGAACTTGGCCAAGTCACATGAGTACTTCTTTACTTCAGTTTCCCCAGCTCCAAAGTGGGAATTATGGCCTAGTGGTGTGACGCGTGTACAGTGCCTGGCACTCTGTAAGTGTGTGGTGAATGTTAGTTCTTTCTATCTTTGCTCCTGTCCCTTTGGGTAGTATTGGAATATAACTTCAAGAAAAATTGTACTTTTTGGGGGAAGCGGGCTGCATATACTGTTTTTAAGAGCCCTTGTTGTTTTGTTTGCTTTTTGTTTTTTGATACTGGGGATCAAACTCAAGTCCTTGTGCTTTTAAGGCAGGCGGTGATTCCACTGGACTAAATCCCCAGCCCGTGAGCCCTTGTTTTGAGTTGCACTCCTTTTGGAGAATTCATAATAAAACTGGACTCTTAGAGAATACCCAGAACTATGAAGTGCTTTGTTTTAAATTTACTGTTACAAGCAAAGCCAGATAAGAAAAGCTTATTTTTCAAGGGATGAGCTAAACAAGCTGGAACACAATCACAGATTGTCAGTGAAGACAAGAGAACTACATCTGTGAAATACATAGTTCATAGCACTCAGTTTTCATCAAGTTCCTCTCACGTGCAAGACATAGTTCTAGGTTCTGTGGGAAATATAGTGATATATATATTTTTGTTTTCAAGTTTACAGTGCAGTAGGAAGGCATTACAAGTGCATCAATAATATTACTACAAGACAGGGCATAGTAAGATGTGAGGAGAACATAGAAAGTATTGTGAGTTTCAAAAGAAAGAGAATTACTTAGCCTGGAATATTCAAAGAAGAGTTCTCAGGGATGCCTCATTTGAATTGGACCTTGAAAGACTAGAGAAAGTTTTTGAAGTAGAATCTTTGAGGAAAGATATGAATAGAGAGAAATACTGGACACTTGGGGAACAACCAAAATCTATAGTGGTCCTAGGATACATATGGCTGGGGGATATTTAACATACAACTGGATCCTTGGTTTCCTCGACTGAAGGACCTAAAGGCACTTGGTTGCCTGGCTAAACTATGAGAGAGAGAGAGAGAGAGAGAGAGAGAGAGAGAGAGAGAGAGAGAGAGAG